GCGCGTCACTCCCGGGTAATCGAAAATGGGCAAAGAGGCGGGAGCTGGCTGCTGAAACCACGCCCAGCTAGCTCGACGGTGGTGACAGCAGCGGCAATCTGCCTGTCACTCAAGTGGCCACGCCCTTAATTATGCAGAACTTTAAGGCTTAATTTAATTTAAACGGATGAGTTATAAAAAAATTCACCCCCCTCACAGTTGTCATGAAGGGCAAAATTAGCTATATAGACCAAAATCATTTTTTGAACCAGGCTGTAAACATGCATTTTAACATGGGCAGTCTATGGGATTGACTCCCTTTTGCAGCCAGCCTCTAGCGGCCAGTTGACGAATTACAGTTTAAGTCACTTCCTTGTTGGCTTCACGAAAAAGAGCGTGAGGTTGCCGCTCGCAAAACACACAGCATCTTCACAACATGGCGGCGGCGGCAGCAACAATAAAGTGATGCCTTCTTTCTTTGCATGAACATTTGAGCGGCGTTATGCAAATCTTTAATGAGTACATAATGTCATAAAATAGAGTAAAATCTAATTAATAATAATAGCGCTCTTGGACATTTTGGAATGTGTAGAAATAAAATAAAAATACATTTAAAATCATAATTTTATATCGCTTTATACAACAGTTCTAAAACAATTAATTAATAGTCAGAAAGTTATGTTTCAGACAAAAAGTGACTAACTCGTATATTTTTGTCCACCAGCGAAAATACTTTAAAAAGAAATTAAAACATCAAACTTGGCAAGAAACGGAACAAAGCTGATCTAAAACAACCGGAAAAGTGGAGCGTAGCCACTGAGATTCTGCTTTGCATCTCTCGCATAGTCTGTTCTAATATTTATATAATGAATGACAGCACTCGTTGAATTCTATACTTTGTATACAGTGTATAATCGTTATATAATTTAAATTATGTGTGCTTTTTTCAGTAACTCGCTGTCAAGTGAAGGCTGTACCTAATGCTGCGTTCAAGTCCTCCTGTGAGTTTGTACTTACGAGTTGACAAGTCGTAATTACGACGTCAGGTGCGTTCAAGTCAGTTTAGTCGGCACAAGATGGCGGTGTACCTTCTTTTAATGAATTACAAGAAAATACAGCAGGGTCTGCATTTTTTTTACTTGGATTTCATCTGCGTAACAAGAACATGACCAATTTAAGTTTATAGGATAACCAAAGTACATTAGTTCATCAGTAATCCTAAAAAAAAAAAAATCTAGTCAATCTATACAAAAATTATAATTCCCTTCATAAAGTAATGAATCATGATGAAATAAATTTTACCCTCACCCACCCTCTCTAAATTAATGAAGGTATTGACTAGCCTATCCACTCTGCTTGGTGGACAGAGTACAATAGTACGTATTGCTAACAGCGTGCTAAGCGCAAACAAAATCACAGAACCAATCAGAGGCGCGAATCCATAGCACGTGATCGAACATGGCGGGATTACTAGAGTGGCATGAGTGGCTTCCGTTAGCGTGTTCTTTGTCATTGCTGTACTTGTAGCTGCTTGCAGTCCGCTTCAATAACAACACCCGCCGTTCTACCAGCGTGGCTTACCTCTAAGGTCAGCCAATTTCCCTGTGTTTCTCTCTGGATTGTGCCGACATTTCTTCTGGCAACGTAAAGAATAAGGTAATGAACGTCGATAACGTCTATAGGTGTCGTCTGTTTTTTCGAGAAGGTGACGTTTTCAGAGGATTTTTTATTATTATTAGAAATATGTACACAGCTAGATAACGGGTCTACGCTGTTCTTTCGGCTGGCGGTGTCGTTATATTTCAACACGAAATGTCTTGAAAACCGGTATTTTAAGTATTTTGTCATCTAATATTGTGTTAAGGCTTTCTGTCAACAGGTATATCAAAATATGTGTGTTTAAGTAGTGAAAATCCTCAAGCGTTGTTGTTGTTAGGTTAACTTCTGTCCACTGTAATCTGATTATGATGCTCTGTCTTACCAAATAAAGTTAACTTTTATACTTTAAACTGGTATGAAAGCCACCTAAAATATGTTGGTATCTTTTTGTTTATTGTTTAAATGTTAAATCTATACATCAAGCTTTGGTTTGGTCCAACTAATATGTTGGTTTTTAGTTAAAGTGATGTGTAACGTTTACTTGCAGCAATTAACAAATGACATGAATACAAATATTCACAAAATGTTCTGTAATTTTAGGACAACATGAACCAACTACCTTAAGTAAATAATCACTGGCTGTGTCTCATAGCGTAGTATGCTGACTAACTAGACAACATTTGTGGTCATCATTTGCACTTTGAGCTGACTATGCAGCACACTAAGTTTTGAGACAGAACCACACTGTCTTGTTCTTAGGTTGTTATTCAGTTTAAAGACTTTCATAATCAGATGGAGTTCAACATGAGCCCACGCTTGACAGTTTCGAACTGTTCTGTTTCATCTGTTTGTGATATAAACAAAGAACTATAAAGAAGTATTTGATCTCAAGGAAACAGTATTTAAAAGGGGATCATTAGTCTTTTAAAAAAAAAAATTTTTTTTTAGCTTTTTTGGACCTGTTGAAAAAGCTTTGTTTAAATTTGTTTATAGAGGCGTCCCGAAGTATGGGAAAATACCAGGGAATTTTAAAGGCTTGGGAAAAGTCATGGGAGGTGTTTAAATCTTCAAAGTTGTGGAAGTGTCTGAAGTGAACTTAATTGTTATGTTCTGCTCTAAAACACTTAATTGAATAAATATTACTAAAATGTATAACTATAATATTGAAGCCCACGTCTGCTACTGAATTAAAAAAAGTCAATAAATAAAACAGCTAGTTGTGGCTTTATCTCACAATTCTGACATTGCAATTCTGAGAAAAAAAACAACTTGCAATTTAAAAATTATAAACTTGCAATTCTGACAAAGATGTCAGCTCAACTTGGAATTGAGAGAAAAAATAGAATTCTGTTTATATCTTGCAGTTCAGTTTTTTTTTCTCTGAGTTTACATTCAGTAATTCTGTAATTTTTTTTCTTCGCCACATACTAAAAATGGTCATGTCAAAATTTTGACTTTGTTTTCTTGCAATTGTGATTTTATATTTCACAATTCAGATTTTCAGAATTGTGAGTGGAAAAAAAGTTGCAAAAAATTATATCTATATATATACTTTTATAAAATTGTGTCGCCTATACAAACACAACACACACACATTTTAAATTTTATATAATTTTTTTTAAATATTAGTTTAATTTTTTTTCTGGATTTGTTTACAGTATGAAATAGTTTTATGCAGTAGAAGATAGTGGTTTGGCTGTGATGGAAAGACTTTTGACTATCTCCAGATTGTAACTGAATTTGGCCACTCAACAGGCTGTGACATTCTGGAAGGGGGCATTATGTAAGACTTGAGCAAAGGTAATTTAGTTGTGTAAACACTGGACACTAGAGTCCTTTGGCTTCATAAGAATCCAAGTGGGTCCCAAGAATGAGACTGTTGTAAAACTAGCCATAATAAATTGCAGAAGTACAGCATCTTCTAACACCCGTTGTTTTCTCATCTGTCTTGTTAATCTGATTGTGTCTGTGCATGTTTTTTCTCCTTATCTTGATATTGCATTGTTTATATGGGGCTAAAACCTTCTCTGCATTCTTGCTTATGTGTTAATCTTTTCCTGGGAACTTAATTTTGAATCACACATTTATACAGAAGTAAAAATGTCATGATTGAAGTGTGATTAAGGGATCTGGTTGGTAGCAATTTATTGTCCGTTGCATATGTATCAATATCAAGAGAAGCTTCAGTGAGATTAAAATTTATTGAGTAACTCTTTGTTCTGTCTGCTTTGCAGAAACACCATGGAGGAAGAGGAGCACTTTGTGAACATAGACTTGAACGATGACAACATCTGCAGCATCTGTAAACTAGAGACGGACACAGGAACGCTTTCCTTCTGCCATGTGTGCTTTGAACTCAGCATAGAGGGTAAGATTTTTTTTTTTTAACAGGTAAAAACATTTGAATGTCCTCAGCTCGCCAGTTCTGGGTCAGATTATGCTAATTATAAATGAAAATAAAACCTCTTTCTCCCATCTCAATTTCATCCATATCCCCCTCATTCATGTATTAGCAAGCACTCTGTTCCTCCGCTTCATGTGCTGCTCAAAAAATTAACTGGAGCGTTTGAAGTGCCACTTTGGCATCTAATTAACGTTCAGCTTATTAAGGTTAGACTAGAGTTTCCTGAGGGGCCTCATTGGAGCGGCTCTTTTGTTCTCTGCAGCTGTCATTTTTTTTTGCGCTGAACCTTCCCCAAAAGAGCATTTAGTATTTCAAACGGTTTTATATCGTCATGGCAGAAAGTAGGCATCTTGGGCGTAAATAATTTTCTCTGGAATCGCATGCCTTTGACTGGAATTTTGTGTGGCGTTAGTTTCGGTTATGTGATTTTTCAGGTTTCAGAGTTTGGAAGGAATGGCTAAACAGGAAGTTTTTAATTGTAGATGAGGATTGGGAACACAATTGTCATTAATTAGAACGTAAAATGTAATTTTGTTTAGAGATATATATTAGGTACTATATAGGTAGTATATTGTTTTTTCCCCCATATAGGTCAGTATTAGATGTTTAATTGTGCGACTTAATAGTTTTGCATATATATTACGCTTACCAAAATTAATTAAAAAAAACATTGATAATTGAACAACACTGAAAATTGAGAAACACTGTAAACGTAATCTTTTACAAATCTTAAAATGAATGTCTATTTTTTCATACTTTGCATTATAATGTTGTTTATTTACATTTTTCTATTTGTTTAGAATACATGCCATATATTGGTTATATATGCCATAATCATGCTTTATGAATTGCTGTGCATTTCTACTTTTGCTTCTTTGTGGCTTTTTTATGCGGCGTCAGTTTCAGTTATATGATTCTCAGGTTTCAAGAAATGAAATGAAATGGTAAACAGGAAATTGTTAATTGTGGATAAAGTTTCCCAGGTGGAATGCCCAAAGGGGTATGGTGATGGAAAAAAAATAACATGGGAAGAAAAAGTTATATTTCAATGCTTTTGTATTCGTTCGCAAAACCGTTGCCATTCCCCTTTGAAACGTTGCGTTCATTTGCAAAACTTTGCATTCACTCACAAAAGCATTGCAATATATTCTTTCCACCCACCTATTATTATTTCCATCCCCAGTTTTGTAAGCAAATTCAAGGTTTCACAGGTAAACGCAAAAACCTTAATACGTAATACAATTTTTCCTCTTCTCATATTTTTGTTTCCCATTACCATGACCCTTTAGGGGCCCGTTAATAATTTTGAATAACATTATTAAATGTAATTATTAGCATCAAAGTATTGATTATCCATTTTTTCATACTGTACACTATTATTTCATGATTCCTAAATTCTCTTTTTGAATTTAAACAAATTCATTTTAAGTTTATTTAGAAAATATGACACTTATTAGTTATCAGTTGTAACATGAAAATAATTATCATCTCCTAGGTATTGGCCAGAATTATATTATCAGTGGATCTGTATTTGTGGATTTATTTTCTAGCATTGATTGTGTTTCGTCCTGCCAGTAAAGGCCTGTGAGTTCATTCTGTGGTTGTGTTGGGCCAGTGGCCAATCTAGGTCAGGTTATCAAAGCGTGACTAGTGTATTCTATTACATACTGGGAAACTATACATGAAAACCTCTTTATTTGTAATGTCAGGTTTTGTCTGCTGGAAGCCTTGTTGAATTGTGTAACAGTGTGGTGTACTAGCATTGTCTCCTGAGGATGTCACATGCCACTTGAAAAACAAACATTATCATTATTTTTTTTTTCTGTACCTCCCTTCCTTTATTGATTCTGTTTATTTATGCATTCCTCTACCTTGACCTTCAAAAACAAAGCTGAATTTTCAACTGCACGGTCTGGATGGGTTCAGAAATTGGGGATCATTCAGCCAGACTGTCTTTTTTTGCAAATGCATTTTTATCTGCTTATCTGTGACACGCATAATCTCAGTTTATGAAGCGTCTGGATTTGCTGGAGAAGAAAGCAGCCATGACTCTGGCGAAGAGCTGGGTCCGCTCACAAATTAGACACACTGAATATTCATGCCTGAGATAGAAGGTTGCCGCTCTTGAATATTTAACAGAAGAGCGCATGAGAGATCTGGTCAGGCAGCCCACAGTCGCCCAGCCACCAGGCAGCTGTATGTCACGAGTGATTCACCACAGCACTCGGCCTGAACGCCGGAGTGTTGCACAACAGCACTTGTGACCCCGTGAGGGGGCATTGACAAGCCTGTGGTTGCGCAGCACTCGATCACAGGTCTTCCTCTGCTGATTGGCTGTTGGCCACTGAGTTACACTCTCTTCCCACTAACAATACACGCCAATGTTCTCGGCGAGAACAAGAACAAGCTGACTGTATGTTTAGACCTGAATGCTCTATTGCCCACACCTGCGTACCCTCAAAAAACATTGTAACTGAAAGTAACCAAACTCGTTAGTTTGTCACCCACATATTTAAATTTTTTTTCATTAGTCAAACTAGTTCCATTTGTCACATCTAGTTTTCTTTGGACAGCCCAACTGATGATATTTGAGGTCTTTTGGTCCTAACGTTTTGTGGTTGTTGCAGAAGAGGTACTTGCAGTGGCTATTTTTATCATATGTCGCCCATGCTGGGCGGTTCTGCTTTTCGGTTTCCTCAAAGCAGTTTCTCCAAGCACAGAGAGAGAGAGAGAAAGGACGACAGAGGCTGTAATGTCTGTGCATGCGTGTTGAGAACACAGGAAGTCACTTGCAGAGTTAAATATGTCTTCCAGCACTCAAAGAAGTAGAGAGAAATATTAAAAGAAATGCACACTCAAAAGGAAAGAATGGGGCAGACTGCAGTACACAATGTACACCCTGAGTTTTACTTCTTGGATGCTTATACAAGGGTCTGGTGTTCTTTGAAAATTGATGCCTGTATTGCTGCAATTTTTTTGTTATGTAAGAAATAACTGCTGCAGCCAGTTACTTATTTTAACAACACTTTGATTCATGCTTTCTAGAGCTGATGGAATAGCTTGGGAAATGTTTCATGGGGGTTTGACTTCTGAATGTCAGTTGCTTGCTTTGAATTATAGTGACAGTTTATGTGGTTTATTGCATGGTATGGAGTGTTCCTTGTGTTTGATTTAGTTTTAGAGTTAGGCCTATATTATGTTTTATTACACAATTGGTGAAAGTTCTGGTGGGAATGGTAGACAATACCTTGTTTATTACGTTTTTATGGTCTGATATGCATTCAGTACTTTTCAAAAGCTTGGGGTCTGTGGGAAATATTTTTGAAAGAATTCTCTTATTCTCACAAAGGCTGCATTTATTTGATTTAAATTTACTTTTACTATTTAAATTAACTGTTATCTATTTGAATGCGTTTAAATGTAATTTATTCCAGTGATGGCAAAGCTGAGTTTTCAGCATCATTACTCCGGTTTTCAGTGTCACATGATCCTTCAGAAATCATTCAAATGTGCTGATTAGGTGCTGAAACATTTCTTATTATCATTTCAGGATTGTTTGATGAATAGGAAGTTCAAAAGAACAGAAAGAACATTTATTTGAAGTATACTTTTATTTTTAATATTTTAAATGGTCTACTGTCACTTTTGATCAGTTGAATGTGTCCTTGCTGAATAAAAGTATTAATTTCCTCCAAAAAAAAAACAGCAAAAATTCTTACAGTCTCTAAATTTTGGCTTATATGTTTAACAAAGGAAGCTTTGGCTCTGGCAGACCTGGCAATACAAATATTATAGAATATAATTTCTAGTGGCTAGTGTGTTCTGCTAGGGTGTTGCATACTGGGCAAGTCAAACAAACCCAAGATCCCAAGTCTCTGATGTTCTTGTCCCACCGTTAATTAGAGTCTATGGGATTTGTTTTCTTCGACCAGGTCTGGTGTCAGATTGTGTAGCCAAGTAATAACTAATCTCTCTTCAACAAGCTGTACGACTTTGGAAGGTATCATGTTCGTTTTTGTGTTGTCAAGGCCATTCCTCTGAATGGTTTTATTTTTATTGCACTGTTGTGTTAGACTCTGCCCACTCTTCTTTTCCACTGGCCCTGAAAGACCTTGATGGCTGGCTGGTTCCTTGCTCCGCCGAGCACACTGACGCTGGACTAACAGTTTCCCCGCAGCAGACACAGGCCATCTCTCATCCTCTTATGTAAGAGCAGTGGAATGTGAGCTTGCGTACATCAGCCAAGTGAATGACTGGATAACTGAGTATTCCAGACACTTGGAGCGCAGCACGAATACAGTGCTGAACCTCAATGTGCTGAACCACTATGTACTTGTGTGCTCGAGTTCCTATTTTTTCGGTGCTCACAATTGTTTATTTTGACTGATGGATGTAATATAGTGCACTAGTGTGACCTTTTGACCCTGATGGTGCAAAGCTCTCTGATAATCAGTGAATGCAGTCTGCATGGTAGATGAGAGCAGATTTGCTGACTGCGCTTCCCTTGCCCAGCGAGCTTTCCTTTTCAGTAATGCGTCTCCATGCTCCAGAGTAATCAGAGGCTTTCAGCAATATTTCTGTCCTTTGAAATGGAAGCATTAGGGAAAACACATCCCCATAGGTAATGTAGGGTTTCAGTATTATGTCTTCATCAATTGCCTCACAGCAGGTTTATTCCAGGACATGCACATGGGAGATGTTTTGCACTGCTCTTGTTTGCATGCTGGTTGGTCTACTTTCTTTAAATAATTTATCATTGTAAAGTTCACTGTTGAACTCAACCTTTGTGTTCTTTCTCCTTAATGCAAGCGAATGCTGTACATCGTAATGCCTTTAGCTGTCTCGGGTTTGGATGCTTGGCCAGGCCTTTACGTAGGGCCATATAAATTTCCAAATTCACTGTTTTCTGTTTTAGTTTTTCTAGATTCCATTTTAATGGATACATTTTTTTAAAGTTGCAAGTG